CTTGATGGCTGGAGCGCGCTTGCGCTTCTTGTTTTTGAGCTTCTTAAAGCCTGGGTCGCCCTCCTGCAGATAGTCGGACACGTCTTCGTTCTTGGCATAGTCAAGTGACAGCAGCTTCCTATTTGTCAGACGGGCCGCTTCTTCCGCTTCCTTACGCATCGTGTTTTTCGAGTCGACTGTCGGTATACTGCTGCCGAGCCTGAATCCTGTATCAGCGACGGCTCGTGCAGCGTCCGGGATGTCGGCGTCGTACTTGCACAAAATGCTACGCTTACGACCGGTCGAAACTTCATCATCGTCGAGACCAGAATAGTCCTTCAGGCCCTTTTTGCGTTCTGCATTGAGACGATCACGTTCCTCCTGGTCGAGCTCAAGGTCCATGAGCTCGTCATCCGCCTCGTCCAAGACACCCGTGTCTCGAAGTGTGAGGACTCTTTCCTCTCCCTCCTCGAAGGCGTCAAAGTCGTGTGCGACGCGGAGACCGGCCAGGTCTGATGCTCCGTAGGCTTCCTGTTCGCGAGCCTGCTGCGCCTCGAGCTCTTTGGCGCGGCGGGCAGCATGCTCCTTTGCCCGTTTTTTGGATTGTTTGAGCCATTTGAGGGTATCGAGAGACGAAGAGCTGGCAGCAGAGTCAAGTCTGTTTGACGAAGCCGTGCCTAGCGTTGTTGCGGTCCGCATTTGAGGGGGACCAGCTTCCGAGGACACGGGCATGACGTCTGGATGGAAGTAGCAAACAGGACTGGGAAGATGTTTGGATCACCGCGCAAAGGAGTGTAGTGTAGTGTATCGTGTAGTGTAGTGTACTGTAATGTAAAAGAAACACAGTCGACCGGCGTGAATAGAGTGGAGGAGCGCCTCTAGGAACTCGGAGGAAATAAGATGAAGAGTTGTTAGACTGTCGACATAGCCAGGCGCCAACATGCTGTCGTGACGACCGCCACATCAATTTCGCAATTTCGCAATTTCGCAATTTCGCAATGTGGGAGAGGCACCTTACATGCATATATGGTGCACTCACCCTCCTCTGCATAGCCGGTTGTGCGAGCACTTCATAGACGCACCATCTGCTCACATATTCCACACGCAGTGTACGCAGTGTACGCAGTGTACGCAGTGTACGCAGTGTACGCAGTGTACGCAGTGTATGCAGTGGTGATGCGTACAAGCAGGCACTCGAATTGCAGACGCCATCTCCTGCTCAGCATGTACTGTGCGCACCCCGGCTTCCAATAGATTGGGTTCAGCCGCGTTCTTCGGGCCACTCGAGCATTCGATGAGATACAGTGGTGATTCTCTTCATATATGCGCCCAGACGTCTAACATAGAGAAATAGGAGAGGTCATATACCCATGTGATGCGAGAAGCGGGGATCGAGGTGCAAGCAGCTAGTCTATGCGCATCTACGCTGCAAAAGATGATGACGATGACAGCAGTGCAGTCCTCTCATCGACACCGCCGCTGCGAGCCCGCTTTGCACCCCCGCGTCGCCAGCGCTGGAGGAAAGCAAACGTGCTGTCAGACGGCTGACCTGCAGCGGTGCCACTTGACTCATCAGCGTCTTGGTCCGCATGCGAGCTGGCCGGATAGATGCAGTAGTGCTGTACGATGAGAATGGCATCGAACCCAAGCGTAAGCAGACTGAGCCCGAGCTTACCAGGATCGCCAAGCACGGCCGACCAGTCGGCTTGAATACCAGCGTCCAAGAACAACTGGCCAAGCGAAAGCACGCCGCCAGTCAGGTCGAGCAGAATATTCTCGATTGAGAACCCCGAGGTACTTTTACGGTCAGCATTGAGCTTGATCTGGGGAATGTACTTGACCACTGTGATCAACAGCTTTACGGTGGCCAGAAGCGAGACAATGTCGATCCATCGAATCAGACGAACAAGCTTGGCGCCCGCACCGGTGACATATGCGGTCAGAATGCCCGCAAGAAGCAGCCGAGTGGTACGGCTAGGCTCTTGCGACTCGGTGCGATATCGCAGATACTGTGCCAGCGTCACGAGAGCCAGTAGCGTGGCGTGCAAGGAGAACACCCAGTCATTAAGCTGCGCGACGTTCTCGTGGCCGTCGTGCTGTTTTCGATACTCTTTCCGGACCTTGGTGGAGAAAAGAAGCAAAGAGTTGTAGCCAAGGTACGATGCGTGTCCGACAGTATTGAGTATGACAAAGTCCGTTGAAAGGCCGACGGTGGACGAGTTGACATAGTTGGCGATGACCTGCGGGTAGAATGACAGACTCCAGGCCAAAGTGTAGGTCCACCCAAGCAAGCGTGAGAGAGACGTCAGCAGCAATGCCGCTTGTGACGGTGGTGGCCGAGCTGCGTCAACCAACGCGCTTGTAGTCGACATCGTGCCTTTGAAGGTAGATTTGGACGCGCTTGCCCTATGGATGGAGGGAGCAAAGTCTATGAGAGAATCAATCCTGGGGATGGTGGTTTCGGATACCGTACAGTCAACATGCGGATCCTCGAAATGTACAACAGCTGGTACGTGGTGCCGTATCTTATACAAAATATACTTACTGTAAGAATATTTTATGTTTATTATTTATTAATTATTAATTGTGATTCTCCTTGTCTATATACAGTACTAATCCATCCTCCACCTGAGGGCTGCTCACGGCAACGTTGGGCGCGTCTCCGATTGCTCTCGAACTTGACGTTCTTGTATGATTCTGAAGACGTATTACAGTAATTGACTAACTCGTCCTGTCCGTCGAGGTGCTCACAGCGGTTCAACTCCCTCAAAGCCCTCGTGTGGTCTGGCATCGGCAAGCAAACAGCCCATCGTCAATATGTTCGAGCATATACAGCTAGTGCGTACCGTAGTCTAGTGAGATGTCTCGTTCAGAATGCTAGGAGACAGGTATGGAACGCGGCCACTGCCCTCTCACAAGTGTGTCAGCCGGAATGGTGATCATGCCGGGCGGATTTGCTCGCGGTTTCTGCATGTTTCGTGATATTACGTGCTGTTTTCAGCACGACGAACGTCTGCATCGGGCTCGTCATTAGTGCTGGGTCCATCTTCGACAGAATCCCTGACAGATACAGACATAGTTGGAGAGTCTGGAGCTGTCGGTGTCCCTTCAGCCGCCTCGTTGGACTGCTTCTGCTCGCGTAGCTTTCGATCTCGAGCTGCTCCCATCCTGGCCTTTTGGACGAGGTCGTCGAATTGAGCCCGATTGTTTGTGGTCCATGTCGTCCTTTGCCGCTCGACAGTTGCTGCATGGTCGCGTGTGCCCGCGCGGTGTCGTTCCCAGTCCGCCAGCTCCTTTCGTAGCTGTGAAGCTGTGCGTCTTGCTCTGGTAGAGTCAAGATTCGCGTTCCAGATGTTGATCCATTGCCGGTGCCGCTCCATCATCCTCTCTCGATCGCCCGTTGTCGGCAGACCCGCATCGTCGAGCAGTTTGCGTAGTTCTCGGTCAGATTTGAGCGAATACTGAGGCCGGACAAGACGCCTCTCGTTGGCCAGGATGAGCGGGTGCTCAGGGATGGGGCCGCTGCCGCTAGCAGCAGTGGAGCCTGAGCCAGATGCGGAAGTCGGATTCGTGCTGGTGAACCACGAGAGTCTACTTTTGGAATGCGAAGATGCAACGGGACCAGAGGGGGTGCCGAAGCCGCGTTGCTCTGCGGTCGGCGCAGGGAAGCCGGGATAGCAGTTCGCCGTATCCAGATGGCGATTGAGCGCACTCACGGTAAACTCATGCCCACAGATCGGGCATGTCACCGTGTCGCTCGGCCTAAGCTCTCGTTCCTGCCCATGATTCGAGGTCTCCGTCTGTCGGCTGCTAGCTTCAGAGGACTTGCGACGTGAAGCAGGGGCCCCGACCGACTCCTCTTGTTCGTAGTCACCATGCCTAGGATCCTCACTCGGAGCCGTGCCATTGCTGTGTCCGTTGCCAGAGCTTTGACCGTGCTTGCCAGCCGTGGGCTCGGTAATCACCCGCTCGCCGTCCTCTTCGTCTTCGTCCAGGGTCACGGGAGATGAGCGGGAGCCGGAAGCCTCGATGCGTATGCGTTTCGATCTGCGCGGCTGCTGTTCCTGTATGCGAGAAGAATCTCTGGTCGACGACTCCCCTTCTGCTGTGCTCCTCTTTCCAGGCGCGACAGCCCGGCTCTGCGCCTTGGAGGAACTTTCGACGCTTCCGCTTCCGTTCTGTGGCCGCTGCTGAAGGCGTGCGAGGAAGCGTCTGGCTTTTTTCCATTCCAGCGCTGTGACTTCCAGCACGGGCTGGGGAACCAGCTCTGAGTCGTACGCTTTGCTCTGTCGGCACTTGGGACAGAAACTACCGCTGTTGCCTGACTGATTTATGTGCGTGCGGATGCAGCTCGAACAGAAGGTATGGTGGCAGGTTTTGATCGAGACCGGCGACGTGTAAATGTCCTGTGATTGTTTGCAGTTGAGCCCAAATTGGCGCCGAGCCAAGAGGCGAGCCAAAGAAGCACAAGAAATATGCTGCTGCGTCAGTATATTTGCACCAGCCATGGTCGGAAGAGTATTATGAGCGACTTACAAAGCAAAGATCGCAGCGCAGGGAAGAGTCAAGCTCCTTGAGAACTGTGAAGTCGTGATGCCAGTCGGATGGATCGGTGACCTCGTCCATAAGTGCAGAGAGGCCATGCATGACGGTTGTCTGCTGCCACCTACTTGCACTCGATGACGTGCTCTCGATACAATGGTCAACGCAAGTCCGTAGCTTCACTGGACAGCAGACAGATGTGCACGGAGCATGTCTTCTGGCCTCCTCTGTGAAGGGCAAGCTTGGACGATCGTGTTTGCAACGATGATGGGTCCAGATCAAGAGTCAGACTCCGATTGTGGCCCCCGACCCAGTCGCGTTTGGAACACGAAGCTCGCAACTTTTTCCATTCCCCTGCTGACTGTGGAAACTCCACATCTTGTGAAGCAGACAAAGCGAGGACTGCTGGAAGTGGCGAAGACGCATTCGGGCATGAACAAAGTAGGGATTATATGTGCAATAGTATTTTCTTCCAACAAGGTTTCTTGGCGCAGTTGGTTAGCGCGTCTCCTTAACAAGCATTTGTTGTTAAGTACGGAGGAGGTCGCCGGTTCGAACCCGGCAGAAATCAGGTTTTTTTTCGCTCCTTTTTGCACTTGCTGGCCTCGGCGAGACCATCTGAGTTGTTGTTGCGCGCAATTCTGTTTGGTTGCTTAACTGGACGGTCTATTGTATCGCCTATTCCGATGGGCGTTAACATGTTACTACTGCAGCAGATCTGCGACCTACAGTTTTCTGTACGCAGAGGCGTGACACATGGTACAGGATGGAGGTTAGTTGAATCCCTTGCTCGCATATCGGCCCGACGGATGGCCGAGAGCTGAGGTGCAGCATCCAGAGTACAGCACGAGCACAGTGCGCATGTGAGCTCCCGTCGGCTATTTGCATCAACCGCAGAGGGGGGAAGAGAGGGGCCGCGGACGAGGAGACGATGGCGCTACACGTGTGTGCGCGACCGACAGTGGTACTGTAATGTGGTCGTATCTGTGAATTTCTGTTACGGGACCCTAGATAAGTTGTGCGCGAGGTTGATTGGCCCAGATAAGCACGCGATCAAACAATGAATCAACTCAGACTGGGTTCGATGCAAGTTGCCGAGCATTCCACCGATGGAAGCCAGTTGTCGGAGAGTGATATATTGTGAATGAAATATATGGAATATTATCTCGACGGCCTCTGATTGGAAGGGTAGATTGATGGATTGTCGCGGTCACAGCAAGCGTAGTCCACGCCAGGTCTGGAAGGAAGGTAAAATTTATGGATGCGAGTCGAGTTCGGCTGATAAGCGGTGCATGAGCGTGGACGCGAGTACTGTACTACTGTCGTGTATACGGTAGACTGGTACTGTAGTACAGCATCTTAATCCGACTAGACGCAGCACGCATGGCCGGCCGGCCAAATTGACGCCACAGAAGCCGCTACTGTACCAGGCAAACAGGCGCAACACAAGGCGACAAGGCGACAAGACGGCAAGACGGCAGCATCTCACGAAGAGGATTAATATTTATTTTATTTTTCGCGGGCCGCGTAGGCAAAGCGCCGGCTCGGCCATCGTATAGAAGCCGCTCGTGTATAAAGTTTCTTTTTCTTTTTCTCTTTCTCTCTTGGACACACAGATCCCGCCTGTCAGTTGGCCCGCATCTTTCCGCGAGCAAAATCTCCGCGCCCTGTCATTGGCCACGTTAATCTGTTGTACCGTATACTCTTCTCTACTCTCCCTTTGCCTTTTTTGACAACCCATGTGTGTTTGTGTGTGTGTGTGTGTGTCTGAATAATGTATGTCTGAATATTAATGTGTGTGTGCGCCCTACCAACGTGAATTCCACTTGAACTTGATCTGCCATTTTTTTCTTGCCTTGTCGATGCGCAGCTGCTTGCTTGACCATTGCTGCCGCCGCTGCTTGCGCTCGGACTAGGCTTGACCAGCATGGACAAAACTTTGTCAGGCCAAGGCCGTTCGTTGGCCAAGCTTCGGATGCGTGCAACTCGGCATTCGACCTTCTTGACCGCTTGATGTTGGTTGGTTGCAGATCGCGAGATTGGCATCCATCTGCAATCAGACAGATAAGATTCACCGATCTTGCTCCGTTCTTGTGTCTCGACTGGATCTAAATCCGATGCCATGCAGAAGCACAGTACTGTACAGCGTAGTAAGTATATGCATTCGTTCGACAAGGGACCGAATTTCAGGGCCCATCCGTTATCTTCGGCCTGTGACGCCTCACATGCAACACTCTCTGGAAAAGTATGCTACTGTATCGGTCTCGACGCGCCGACGCAGAGCTTCATCAGGCCGAGCGTAGCCGAACCCTGTCACCTCGCTTTCTACCCCGCGTGTACAACTTTGTCCCTGCTTGCTTCGAGCGGTGTGTGGCACCTCACACATGGTCCCCGTCCTCACACGGCTTCTAGCTCCTCGGCTGTCGGTGCGAGGCCCATTGGCACGCCGGACCCGCTAGACCTTATAAAATGCGGTCCTTTTGTCCTTCTTCTTTCCCTGGATATGTCTTGCACGCTTCGTCTTCCTCATCATCGCCTTCTCCCGTTCCTTACACCAACCTTTTCAGGCCGTGACTTGCTTCTCAATATTGTTGAGTAGGAGCAAGATTTCAAAGATGCAATCGAGTAAGACGCCGTCCTTCGAGGACGAAAAGGTATCACAACATGATGATGCGGCCAAGGCACAGGCCTACGTAGGTCATGTCACCTCTAAAGCCTATGTTGGCGACGAAAACGCAAAGGCGCAAGCTCTTTCGGCCGATGCCGCTTCTGTGACTGACGAGGAGCTCAAGCGCGTGCTTCGCAAGATCGACATTGTTCTCATGCCGCTCATGTCCGTGGCTGTGCTGCTTCAGTTCCTGGACAAGACTTCGCTCAACTATGCCAACCTGCTCGGCATCAAGTCTGATACCAATTTGCGTGGCCAGGAGTACTCGTGGCTCGGCTCCTTCTTCTACGTCGGCTATCTGGCTGCTACTCCAATTCATGGCTTCTTTCTTCAGAAAGCCAATCTCAGCCTCTACGCCGGTCTCAACATCATCCTTTGGGGTATCGTGCTCGGAGCACATGCCGCCTGCAACAACTACAGCCAGCTGGTCGCTGTCCGCTTCTTCCTCGGCTTTTTCGAGGCATCCCTGACCCCGGCCTTCATTCTACTCACCGGTCGCTTCTACCGACCTCAGGAGCAGGTCACCCGGACTTCCATCTGGTTTGCCAACAATGGATGGGCGCAGATCCTTGGTGGCGGCATCTGCTATGGCCTTCTCGTGCAGAAGCCTGGTAAGCTCGAGACGTGGCGCGAAATGTTCCTCATCCTTGGTGGTATCGCCATTGCCTTTGGTCTGGTGTGCATTGCATTCATGCCGTCATCTCCAGCCACGATCCGCTTCCTGAACGAGCGAGAGCGCCAGGTGGCCGTTTATCGCATTCGTGCCAACAAGGCGGGTATTCATGACACCAAGTGGAAGTGGTCCCAGATGTGGGAGGCGATTAAGGATGTGCGTCTCTACCTCTTCTTCCTCGGCGTGTGCACGGCCAACATTGCCAACGGAGGCGTTTCCAACTTTGGATCGCAGATCATCAAGCAGTTCGGATACGACTCTAAGACTACCGCGCTACTGGGCATGGCACCCGGCCTGATGGAGGTGGTCGCGATCTACTTTGGTGCATATCTGTCGTATGCGACGAGAAGTCGAGTGATTCCGGGTACGCTCATGTACCTGATTGCGGTGGCCGGCGGTGCGATGATGATTGGCATCCCTGCGCAGCACAAGGCATGGCGCATGTTTGCCTATACAATCGTGTTTGCGTATCCGTGCGCAAGCCCTTACTTCTACAGCTTCCTGGGCTCCAGTGTCTCGGGGACGACCAAGAGAATTGTATTCAACGTCCTGATGCAGCTGGGATACTCTACGGGCAACATGATTGGCCCACAGACGTACCAGAGCAAGGACGCACCGGACTACGTTCCAGCCAAGATCACGCTGATTGCCATGTTTGCCGCAGCGGCTGCGTGCCTGGCCGCCATCAGCGGCATGCACTACGTGTGGAACAGAAAGAACGCCGCCATGCTCGACAGCCCGGACATTGGCGACGATGCCGAAGATCTCACGGATCTTACGGACAAGGAACGCAAGAACTTCCGATACCCGTACTAGAGCATGTTGATCGCGCCACGACCCTCGCCGTTCATGTAACGAAACGAAAGGAAAAAATAAGAATAATAAAAAGAAGACGTTGTTCCTGTTTGTCACCGTGAAGGCGCATGCTCTACTGGCATTGTGACATTGATTGTGGACGTTGAGCATGTTGCCAATATGGTGGAGCACCTGTGTGCAGTGCAGAGTGCAGGCTCTTGATCAGGGATTCGGATGCTTTGTTGTGACCGAGATGGCGTTGAGACAGGCTGAGAGGTGTACATGGAAGAGTACTCAGGCGGGCCAAAGTACAGATAAGTGGGTAGACGTATACAGCTAGTTAGTACGTATGTACGTAGCACTACAGTACTGTAGTACTGTACAATAATTATATGATATGTTGTAGATGTACTGGTGTACTGTAGTACAGTCGCTTCCACAAGGAGGCCACGGGCATAGGCGCGACCAAGACGGCGGGCGGCAAGACAGGCGAGACATTTATTATGGATTTATTACGAGCCAAAAAGAAAAAGAAAAAATGCACAACGCAGCTTCGCAAAAAGGGTCCAAGCGCCAACTACAGTACTGTGACGACGCGACAATGACCAACTCTACCGCTCAGGGGCCGTGTGATGTGCACGCACACTTCACATGCATCGTGTGCATAGAGCACGCTCAGTTGGCAAGCCATACTGTTCAGTACAGTATAGTACAGCGCAATGCAACACAGCACAGCACAGCACAGCACAGCACAGCACAGCACAGAACAGTCAATCTGTACTGGAACAGTACTCTCTGTACTGGCGTTGGCTGACCCGTCCGTCAACAATACTCACAGACCAGCCACTTGTCTCTTGCCCTCTCTAACGCTCGATCTCTCGACGTTTCCAATCCACAGTCTCCTACCGTGATACCACCGTCCTCGGATACTCGAATCTCGTCTTGCCCCTTTGTCCCGACCGTGTTTGTCAGAATCTCCCAGTAGTAAGTCTGGATTGCAATTGACTGAGCATCATGGGTGAGTACGAGTCGCTACCGTGCATGGAGCTGGGCCACTCTTGCTGCGGAGCAGTGTTCCTATCCTGCTGTTCTGAGTTTTGTTTCCGGCGAGTTGCCTCTGCTGACAGTCGTCTCGATCCGCCTTCGATGCGGCATCTGTGTGCCTTGTTGCGTTCTTTTTGTGGAATTCGCTCGGATCCTGTACAGCGTCGCTGGAGAAGCTCGACGTTGCTGGCGCCAATTCGGCCGCTGCTGATCCCAACGTGCCAAAGAGCCCACTTAGCGATGAGGACCGCGCCAGGCTGGAGCGAAGTCTCGGACATCGACCCGATCGGCATGAATTGGAGGAGAAAAACATCCTGAAGCCGGGCAATCTGGCGCCCTCCCTGCAAGCTGCACGGGACGAGCTGGAAAAGTCTCAGCGTGCCGACAAGCT